CAAGGCTTATTCATACCCGAGTGTGTGGAACAAACTTCCGAATGCCTTTTATGGTCTAAAAGATGACATTAGAATCCACATTTTTAAAAATCTGAAATTGTAGGTTCATGTGCTAGGCACATGGAGCCTTAGGGGCCCAACAAATTAATATGTGAAGAGAAGCAGGCCATGGTCACTATGTACCCTGTACAGTTCAGATGAAAGACTTCTAGCTTTAGCACCAACATTCTGAGAACATGGTAGTGTTTAACTTAGAAAGGAATGGAGGAGGAGTGTTGAAGTGTCCCAGCTTCTCATAGGTGGTCTTTGTTCTTACCCTCCACCTGTCTGGAGACTACACTCAGTCCTTTGTCCCTCCAAGAATAAATAAGAACAAAGGTATTGTAGTTTAACAGGATGAGGGGTTTCCTAGTCACTACATGTCAGACACTTGACCAAATTTCTTATTAAGCATCTGTCTTCTTCCTTCAACAGTTGCCGTATTTGTTCCCTTTATCATCCCTCAGACCTCCCTAAGTTCCTGCCTCCTGCTACGGCTCCAAACAATTGTGTAGGTAGCCTCTGCTTTCACAGCTAATTCTCCAAAGGGCCACACTGATTGGTAGCCAGGGCATACCACTGAGATCCTACTAATTCTATTATGTAGCCTGTTAAAATAAGTCTTTGCCCACAAACATGTCTCTTTTTCTCTCCAGAAATCCAGTTACTAGAAAATGTGACATCTCCATAGTATTTTGGAGCCAGCAAAGATAGATGCACTGTTACCCAATGGAGTGGCCAGATACCTCCTCCTTCTCTGGTTCCGTTCTCATTCAGGCAGACACTCTTGGTCTTATAAAACTGGTATACATAGTAGTACTGATAATGATTTTCAACTTATCTTTCTGCAATTTCATATCCCGACAGCCCTTCAGGTAGGACTAGAAGCTTAGTGATTCAGTGTGTGTGTGTGTGTGTGTGTGTGTGTGTGTGTGTGTGTGTGTGTTTGTATGTGTGTGTCTCATATTTAAAACAAAGCTCTCTATATGGGTACTCAATAAATGGTTCTGAAGAAATGAACTGTATTGAGTGCTTGCTGAATGTAGAAAGGGAAGATGGCAAAGATTTTGTGCTTTTAAAGAGCTATTAAGATTGCGATATTTGGCCCAGGATGGCATATCTTTTACTTGGGTGGTTAAAAAATAGATAGTAAAAGCATTGCTTGTTTTAATGGAACTTTTAGTTTTCAAAATATTTTCATATAAAATATTTTATCCCTTTTTTGTCAATCCTGGGGGATTTCAAAATGTTATCACTGAGTGTATAAATGCATTTAAACTAGTACCTTGTCTTTTGATTGGAAATTGGTTTATCTTTTCTCATAATATGTTAAAAGTCTCAAGAACATTACATACACAATGAATCAGAAAGTACACTTCAGAATTCTATCTTGAATTTATACAGAAGTGTATCCCAAATCTAAATACACAAAACATCTCTTGAATAAACAGATTCCTCCTCCCCAGTGTGATTTATAAAAACAAATTATTAGAAAACAATTAAAACACCAGAATCTAAAGGACTGCTTAATTAGATCATAGACAAGAGCGGATATTATTTTACCCTTGACATGATGGTGATTAAAATTTCAATAATTTTCTAAGGTGAAATACAGCAATAACTGGGCACATGAAATAGACATACCTGATCCTAATTCTGACCTGTGCTTCTGCACAGGTGCACAGACGCTAGCCATAAATCACATTCATGCCAACACAGTGACAACGATTCCCTTTGGGAGGAAGGATTACTCTAAAGCAGGTAATCTTACAATGTAACAAAATAAGAAGTGACCACTTTTGTGATTGAGGAGACATATTTCAACAACAGGATTAACTCAACAACATCATCCTCAACAACACAGCAACAGCAATAATAACAACAAAAACCTCACCAATGAAAGCCCGGTAAACAGAGGCTACCTTAGAGACATGAGTCCCATATCCCTGGCATTAAGTTTAGCAGTGCCTTTTGACCAACCTCCACCTATCTTCTTTGTAGCTGAGCTGTGCCTGTCTCTTGGGCTATAGTGAAGGATTTCAACAGCTCTCTCACCCACTGGCTGCTCAGTCGTTTTTTAAGACTCACTTCCACTTTTCCTAACTCCTTTACTGTGTCTGAATACATTTAAAACACCCTGGGGAAACCAGCCGTTATTTGCCATTCAGCTCTGACAAGGAGATGAAAGGCAATTTTATAGCAAATGTCTTCTTCAGGCCCCTGAGAAGAGCCAGGTCATCTTATTCAGAGAAATCCAGCAAGTTCAGTCGTGCTCTTGGTCTGAGATGCTGTGTGAAAATTTTTGTCCAGCTCCTCAGCTTCTGCTAGGGCTTGTGATGCAAAGCAATAGGCACTGGAAGTCTGCAGGCTACTGATGGGAAGAACACAGGCAAGGCCAAGAATGCAGAAAATTTGCACATCTCTCCCATCTCATGATGCTCAGGACCAGTCCCAAAGTCAACCCTCCTCCCTGTGCTCCCCTTAGGAGCACACCCTGTCTCTACCTCACCGAGTCACCTCCTGTCACCCCTGAACAGGGTGTTCTTTTAGGCTGACTTCTGCACTCAAACATCTGGGCTATTTATCTGTCAAGATAACTGCCTGTTTCTCTTGCTGGTTTTCCTCTTCTCCCAGTTCCATTTTGTTCAGCTCCCTTTAGAGCTCTCTTAGCAGAAAAGGTACCAATCCAACCAGAGAGGTAACAGCCAAATATGGGGCTAGTTAGGAGTAGAGGAAAAAATACTTCCATTTCAAAGAACTTCCAAGATACATTCATTGAATGGAGATGGAAAGATGTGAAGAAAAATTCAATTGTGTGTGTGCGGGCAGGTTAGAAAACAGGTAAACTGACCCATTTTAGTGATTGTAATGCACAGCTATCCATCCATTCATTCATCCATCCTACCCACCCACCATCCATCATCCATCCATCCACCCACCCACCATCCATCATCCACCCATCCATCCATCCACCTACCCACCCATCCATCCATCATCCATCCATTCATCCATCCATCCATCCATCCACCCACCTACCCACTACCCACCATCCATCCATCTTTTTACTCAGGTATCTACACTTGAATCTAAGAACCAGATGTAGAAATGTGATCTTGTGCAGAAAGAATTCTTCTAATATATATATATATATATATATATATATATATATATATATATATATAGAGAGAGAGAGAGAGAGAGAGAGAGAGTTTCTCAAAGAGAGAGAATCCAGCAAAACACACACAAATGACAGGAGAAACAAGAACAAAGCCCTTCAGATGCCATGGACAAGAGCAGGGAGATCTGACCTGGTCAAGGAGATGAGGGTGTTTCCCTGTGGAGGGTGCCACTCAGCTGAGCATAAGCTTCCTTGTTTTATCTTTGACACAGCCCCATCCACTAAATGAGTCTGTTTTTATGCAGAGTCCAGTTAGGCATCAGGTGTCCAACCCCAGGGGATGAGGAAGTAACAGCATAAGCTAACCAAGGTCATTCTATTCATTTTTGTGTCCAAAGATTACTTTACAAATGACCATACCACTCAGTTCTAGTCATTGAGGCATAGCAGAAGTTTTGCTCTCTGCTGAAAAGAAGAGAGGGGGAAAGGAGCCCCCCCTCCCTAACCCTCACCCTGACTCTGGGTCTTTGGAGCTATCACGGCCCATGAAATCAAACCTAAAGTGATTTTCCCAGAACTTCTCAGGAGAGCGCTGCATGCCCGGTGTTTAATCCACCTTTAGCCAGGCATGCTATGGCTTGCAACTCCAAGTATCCTCCCTGGGGCCATGGCACAGAAGGTTGTAGAAGAGGCTTAGAGTCTGCACTTGCTCAAGCCTGGGAGAAAGTGGACTCTCCAGAGCATGGCCCATTTGCCTTGGGCATACAGCAAAGCTTGGCATAGGTATTTTAGTAGTCTAATTTTCAAATGTCGTGACTTAGATGTGAGAGAGGTTGCTGCGGACAGAGAACTGGGATTCTTCTGTAACTGAAGGAAAGGGGTGCAATGCCAGGGTGTGGGGGTCATGGAAGTCTTGAGTGAGTGTGTAAAGAGCTGGTGAAGTAGTAAGTGAATGTGTATTGTCTGACATGGGCATAGCCATGTCAAAGACCAATTCCTCAGATCCACTGGAATGAGAGACTCCACTCTCTAGGATGAGGCTCCAAGGGATGGAAAAGCTTTCTTCTGACCCAAATGCAAATACTGACAGTGTATACAAGTAGACGAACTAATTAGTGTGGACAAAACCCAGCAACACAGCTTCTGCCTCTTAGATGTTGATAACGTGAGAGAGTTTGCCTTTAGAGACTTCCTACTAAGACTAGCTGCATCCCCCCTTTATGATGTCCACAATAAACACGTGTAGCTTCCAGGTTGATGTATGTAGTTGGTGCCATTCAATCAGAGTGCATAGCCCAGCTAACCCCAGATTGTCTGTATGAATGTCAGTCCTCGTCATTCTCTTGTTTTCCCCTAGTCAAATTTCTGGGCCTAAGCAATGCTGGATGTGGAAGCGAGAGCCATTGACTTACTGGGAATTTTAAATGATCATTCTATTTTTGTCACCAACTTCAATATTACATTATCTAAAGAACTTTAGATTTTATTTCCTATTGTGTTTTCTAGTCAGTGGTGGATTTAGTGTTAGAAGTCATTAGACATAAAGGCCACAACTACTCTCTATATCTTCGTGTGCTAAAGGAAAACATAGAATCCAATCTCCCATGTAGCCAAATATGCAAATGATTGTGATACATCATGAGTGATAGTGCATTCAAGTGAGAGAATATGTCATATTTGGCTACAGGCTATTGAAAGTCAAGTGGATGGAAACACTCTGGCTCAGTTTCTAGAAAAGTAAATCTGCCATGATTAAGGGTATCTCCAGGCAGAGTATTTGGGAAAGCAGTGTTTCCCTGCTCCCTTTCCCCATGAAGATAGACAGTAGCCCTGGTGTGCACACCGACAAACACCACTTCCCTTCTGCAGTTCTTGAGTGAAGAGTGCTTGCAAGAAGGGATCCTCTGGGAAGGACAGCCAGCTGCCGCAGTGATGCTTTTGTCTCCTCTTTTTTGTTTCTTCTCCTCTTGCAGCAGTTTGAGTAAATGGCAGAGTCAGCGAGCTCGTGGGAGACTCTATGCAGGGATGGAGTGAGATGCAAGCTGAGTTTGCATCTCTGGGGAGGTCCTAGACTTGGGGGTGATGGACTTAGCGACTTGGATGGCCACTAAATGACCTGTGTTAACTGGCAGGTTGTAAACTATAGACAGGACAAGGGAATGTTTTCTATAGTCACCAGCCATGTTAATTTTGACTTGTTTCCTTCTTTTTCTGAGCCTTCATTTTTTTTTTTTTTTTTTTTTGTTAAAGTGCTCTGCTTCCCTCAATGAGTGTCTGTGAGGACAAGATGCTGAGATGAATGGCTTTGGCGAAAGTACTCTATTTGTCTACAAAGCGCAGTGCAGGGATAAGCCACTGTTTTCATTAGTGGGAAATGACTGCTCCTCCGCTGCTGTGATTAAGGGAAAACAATTGCCCTGGAAAGCCCCTGTGTTCCTTGGACTCTTCACAGAAGCAGAAATCTCAATGGAGATGATTCTTTTTCCTTGCCTTGCTGTTTTGATTTGAATAATCCCAGCTCTAAGTGGACTCTTGAATATGTCCCCAAGATCTGATGCAACCAGGGTGCTGATTTCTTTTTGGGAACTCATTGGCTCCTAAGTGTGAGCCCTGCTTCGGGTCCCACTTGCTTCAGTATTGAGAAGACAATCTCTTGTTTCATCATGAGTCCACAGAATCTAAAGACCAAACAGAGGAGAAAATATGTCTGAAAGGCAGCGACAGTCACTTCTGCTTCCTGGAGCCTTGTGGTAGAGTAGCTGTACATTTCTTTATTGCATGGCACAAGTGACATCATTGCTGAAGTATTTGAAGTATTCTGATGCGTCCTTTCACTTTCCCTTTAGGAACCTATCCTGTCCTCCCCTCCCCCCCCCCAACCCGCAGAGCCTGCTTATCTGAGCTGTCTCACTTTCCTAGAACTCCGCATTGGGATGACCGGCTTGTTCCAGTATAAACTTCTGTGATGATGGAGTAGACTAGATGGTCTCTGTCCAATAACGTGACCACTAAGCCCATGCAGCTACTGAACATTTGAAACGGATTCAGTATAACTGAAGAACAGAATCTTTAATATTTGATTTCAATGGACTCAGATTTAAATTGGCATATGTGTCTGCGGGCAAGGTCTTTGTTGGCCAGTGTACTCAGTTTCTCTACTACAACCGAAATCAGTCTAACCTAGGTTCCAATCCATAGCCCTCTCAGAGAAGCACAAGAAAGTCCATCTCGTAAACCAAGTACTAGGCGTAAATTAAGTTCTTAACCCTTGTAGACAACTGTGTAGCTCTTTCTCTTGTTCCTTGTGTTGGGGATTGGACCCAATGCCTCACACATACTAAGAAAGAGCTCTACCAATGAACTACATGTCTACATGCTAAGATTAGAACACAGGTTTTGAACAATACCACACTTTAGTCAAAATGGAAGCCCAAGTGGCAAGAACTGGGGAAGGGGACAGATAAGTGTGATATGTAAAAAGATAATGGGTAAAGACCTTCTGAGACACAAAGTATGTCTAATGGATGACATTTCCTCCCCAGGGCTCTGGGATGCTTCTAAACTCGTTTGTCTCTCAGGAATATGGAAAGATTTAAGGTCACAAGTATATGGGCAGGAGCTGGGGGAAAAAAAAACTGGAATGGGAAGATCTTGGAGGATGCCAGAATTCTTGCAATAGGATGTAAGGTGCCAGGTAGGTTGGTGCTTTGTTCTGCCTTTCTGTGGAATGAGCACAACCATTGGGACATAACCGAAAAGCTGGAGACCAGAAAGCAGATTGCAGAGCTCACAATGGGCTATGATATTTTTGTGCTGGACAAGAGTTGAAGCTCTGCTCTTAATTTGAATCCCAACCTTTCAGGGAAGTGTTCTTTCTCTTGCATTCTTTTATGAACATTGGTTTCTGGATGTTCTTTTTCTGTTGAAACTGGGCTGTGCTGCTGTGTGTCTTGGCTTGTCTTAAAACTGCTTTCAAGTTCCTGCCTGAGTTTTCACTGATGCACACTGGCATCAGAATAATCTTTGCATATCAATTCCAGGTTGGGTAAAGGGTGGAGGACATGGGGCTGGGGCTGATGTTATGGAAGGACAACCAGAAGGATGAAAGGGCCCCGGGGGACACTTAGAGACAAGCAAGCGAAGAGCATACCAATGCTTGTGTTTGGGGATTTGCTCTTGGGGCCTCAGTCTCTTGTTCCAACCGCAGACACATCTGTTACCAACACTTCACCTGCTCTGGACTGCTTGGAGTGGAAAATATGAATTTTAATTAAGACACTGTTCAGAATCTATCCTTTCCTGCTTAAAAATTTTATAAAATCAGTCAGAGACATTTTTTTTTTTACGTAGATATGTGGTAAATAAATAAGTACACATGAAAGTAAAAAAAAAAAAAAAAAAAAAAAGCAATTATCCGGGAAATCTCTCTGGTGTTTGCAACACAATTCAGACTCCAGTTTTCTGGGCTTCCTTGTCCTCTTGAGGGAAAGCTTATTACAGTATGTAGCATAACCTTGTTGTCTCTCAATTTGTCTATCTTTTAAATGGCACAGATCATGTGAAATCAGGGGACAGAAGCCTAGAAAGGAGGAGGAAGTGCACAGAACTCCAGCAGCACTGATTTCTCAGTCTGGATGTTTGTGGACCATCCAGGGAAGGACATTCATGTCACAGGGATCTCTTGTACCCAAAGTGTCTAGATGATTTACGGCATCCTTTTTGTAGACATTTCCTAATGTCTACTCTGTGCATTATGACTTTCAGTCCATTTAAATGAAAAGACAAAAGGTCTTGCCAGGGCTGAGGTAACTTAAAGTGGTTTTTGATACAAAGATCTTGGTCTACTTAGGAGACTTCTGGCAATGTCTGAACACATTACTGTCACTATCCAGGGTGGGTGGTTTTCTCCTTCCCAGGACCTTAAGCAATATTTTGACCCTGCTGGTTGTTAAAGCTGGGGTTGCGGTGGTGTTCACTCTGATGTTGCCAAGTATACTACCATACAGAGAGCGATCTCCGTGACCAAAACATTTGACTCAGAATGTCTTGACAAAGTTTGAGAAACCTTGGTCCAAGGGACAGGCAAGTCTTCACTAGAGTGAGGGATGGCTCTCAAGGGAGTGTCACCATGCCCACTGTTGGAAGACTAGTAAACACCACGAAGTGGCTCAAAAAAATCTCAGAAGCTTTTCACTTAGAGTGTTCCTCAGCCATTAACTTAGTCCATTTCCCATCTTCATGAGATTTTCGCTTTCCCTGGAAGGACGGGAAAGCGAGGCCTCAGAGTTACACAGGCCATCCTCTGCTTTCTTACAGTACTCCACCTTCCACAGCAGCATAGGCAGGGACAATCTGTGTGGAAGGTTTCTCCATGGCCTGCTTGCTGACAGGTGCTGGCTCCCAGGGTTTCCTTGCTGTTAATGGAAGGAGAAGATGCACAGCCCGCCATGTATGAGTTTTGTCATATAGTTTGTGATGGAGCAGATCCAAGTAGTGACACTATTAAGGAGGCTGAGACAAGGATCAGAGAGTGGTGACAGAATTTGTACTGAACTGGTTAAAGAAATACAAGCGGATGTAATATTTCTCTTTCCGGTTATAAAAGTAACACAGACATTGTCAAAAAAATTCCCAAGTACAGAAACCTATAAAGAGGAAATAAAAATTGCCTGATTGCACTACTAGGGAATACCAACCACATAAAGCTTTTGAGAGAAACAAGAAAAAGAGACGAATGAACATCAGGTTTTCTGAGACAATGAGCTAGGGAGGTTTGAAGACGGTTTTGAGGACAGCAGAGTGTCCTGTGTGAACATGGGTGGTTTGAGATGATGCTCTTTGAGAATCCAGATAGCTGAGTTCCCCATCCTTGCTCAGATGATATGGACAGTGAGAAGCAATCAGCTGGGCGCTAGCTCAAGCCCTTCTTACCTTTAGGGCTCATGTGCAAAGCATTTGTGGTGCTCACCTTCAGAGATAGGAGAAGTGTCCTTCAGCTGAAAGAGAAGATGACTCATTTTAGTTCAAACATGACAAGGCAGGATATTTGTCATCCCTGGCTTCCTGTGCCACATAGCATGGCAGAACGCCCTCACTTATAGCTCTCATTTTCTGGACTAATTTTTTGCAACTTCATTATGAAGTAATATCCATCTTAGAAAAAAAGTTGCAACAATAAATTCCATCTTGTGCACCCAGATAGCCTAATTATTAATATGCTACTCATCATCCTGTATCTATTATATATGAAAATTACTTTTCCTCCAAGTCACTGAAAAGTAAGTCACAGTCATGAGCCTTCACTCTCCTAATTATTTGAGTTTATTTTCCTAAGAATAGGACATTCTTTTTTATAAACAGTGTGATTAAGTCAGAAAATACCCGTTGATTCAGCATCACTATACAATCTATAGGAGCTCCTAGGCCACTTTCACCAGCTGTGATTAAATTGTAAGGAGTTTGATGTTGAGGTCCTAGATGGGATTTATCAATAAATGCTGACGTGGCCTTGGTCGAATTAGATTCACCCACTTTTACTTGGAGCTTAGGTTGGACTCGCCCTCAGGGAGTCAAAAATGTTTTGGCAAGAAAAAGCTTTTTAGAGTGAGAAATGGACTGACTGCTCACGGGAATGTAGGGTGAAGCCTTTCGTCCCCTGCCATGTCCCCTCCAGGTGTCCCAGCCCCAACCTTAGCCCTGCTAGTATTTCTGACTCCAGGCTTGTGTATGAAATTCCAGACTCTAGTTCTTGATTGGCCAGGGTTTAAAGGACACAGCACAGGTAACTGAAGGAGATGCAGATCTCAGATCAGAAGAAACTCTTTCAATGTTTCAATAAAAAACAGGCCTGAAAATGCTAGAAGCTGATTTTCGTATTTTTGGTTGTGAGCCTAGCCTTTAACGGCTGAGCCATCCCTCCAGGCCTAGAAGCTGATTTTTAAACCTGGGTTCTCGGGCTGGGAAGATTGCTCAGTGGGTAAAGCCCCTGATGGGTGGTTGTGAGACTGGGTTACAGATCTCCAGCAGCCATGTAAATGCTGGTGAGGCGTGGCCTGCCTATGAACCCAGCAAACACGGGAGGTGAAGACAGATCCCTACGACGAGCTGGCTGCCTACACCAGCCAACTCTAGCAAGATTGGGCAGACTCGCTTGAATTCTGGCTTCAAGCGGATGACGTTGCCTTACTATGTAAGGTGCAGATAGAGGGAGGAGGACACTAGGCATCAGCCTCCCGCCTCTGCATGCACATGGACATGCATCTGCACACAAACAATTGCCACACACACAAACACACATACACATGTACACATGGATCACACACGCACACATGCAAAAACAAAACACCCCCTCCCCCAAACTGGCTTTTCCTTTTGGACACAAATTCATAATTATTGTCCAGTTTGCTCTCACAATTCCAGGCAAAAGCCAACTGGTCACTGGAACCAGCCAAAAGACTTTCAAATAATTTCTAAGCCTCCGAATGCCAGACTTCTAGAAATCGTTCCATGAGGAAGCTGGTGCTTAATGTTCTTCATGCTACCTTAACAAGCAGAGAAGGGAGTGACTGGCGGGAGACCCACGGTGGCCCCCAGTGTCTTTGTAACTCTGAAACCCTCATGCACATAGTCACTACTTTGTCAACATTGCTGCTTTGATTGGGCAGCTGAACTGTGTTTGCAATCAAAGCGTGTGATATGATAAAAGCTATTTGAACAAAAGACGTTCATCCACAAGACGTTTGGTAATGAGGTGTCTGGTGAACCCACAGCGTGCGACACAGATGTCTGGGGCAGGCTTCCTGGAAGTAAGTCTCCAGATTTTTTTCCATAAGGTACAGTGACACTGCATCTTCATTTCAAAAACTCTTCAATATTCTAGACTGCGTTTTACGTTCTGCGAATTATTTTAGCTGTCTTTGATAATGTCCTAACTCTGTTCAGAACAGCCCCTGCTCCTCTCTGTTCCCATTTATACTCTGCTTGAATGAAATGAAATGAAATCTATACTCTGCTTATACTTTTATTGGAAATCCCGAGGGGTTAGCTGAGGCTGGAGAAAGGCCCAGACGCAGCAGGACACAGGTCAGAGGCTACATGAACGCAAACAGTCTGAAATACTATACGGTAGTAATGAGGGCTCTGGAGCACAGTGGCATCAAAGGAATTGCAGTTCCAGCAGCCCCCAAAGGTGTTTATTGAATGGTGGGTACTGGACTCTCATCTTGCTCTCCTATTATTCATTGCCATGTATCAAAAGTCTGGCATGCCACTTATCAATGGCCAATCTCTGTCCTGTTTCCACACTCATTCTCTTCCTATTCTAGGCTAGATGGTTCTGCCTGCTGGGCTCCCTTGCCTTCGCCTTCAGGGAAAGTTCAAGTGCATCAGGCAGAGGATGGGAAATGGGCATGTCAGGGTATTCTTTCCTTCCACATCTACCTGTCCTGTGTTGTAGGGGCGCTATAGCTCTGTAGCCACGTCATTCAGTAGGGCAGCCCTTCCTCCATGACTCTGCCTGTCACTGAGCCCCAGAAGATCATCCTTTCTCACTTCAGTCTGCGCAGAAGAGTGGTGGCTGTTTCCCTTATTCTCTCAGCCCTGCCCACAAGAATGCTGCGTAGTCTCATTGCTCTCTCTTAAAAGCCTGGCTTATCTGTTACTGTATGACCATGATGGAAATATTATGCAGAAAGCTTCCTTCCATTTCTGTGTCGTGGAATAATTTGAGGAGTATTGGTCTTAGGTTTTTCATTGAAGGCCTGGTAAAATTTGGCACTGAATCCATCTGGCTTTGGGTTTTTTTCAATTGGGAGATTTTTAATTACGGTTTCTATTCCACTAGGAGACATCAATCAATGTGATAGAATTTAAGATGCATACATAACTCCTCACATCCACGAAAACCTTATCTATCTATCTATCTATCTATCTATCTATCTATCTATCTATTTTTACAAAGAATCCAAAAATACACACTGGAGAAAAGACAACATCTTCAACAAATGATACTGGTTAAACAAGATATATAACTGCATGCGGAAGAATGAAAATAAATCCATATCTATTGCCCTTCACAATACTCAACTCCAAATGGATGAAAAAACCTCAACACAAGACCAAATACACTGAATATGATAGACGAGGAAGTGGGGAATAGGCTTGAACTCATTGGCACAGGAGAGGACTTTCTGAACAGGATCTGATAGCACAGGCATTAAGACCAATAGTTCATAAATGGGGCTTCATGAAGTTAAAACCTTTCTGTGCAGTAGGCAGCATCATTTGGTAAAGCAGGAGCTAGAGAATGGGAGAAACTTTATTGATTATTCATCTGACAGAGGATTAGTGTCTGGAATATACAAAGAACTAAAAACCTCAGCATTAATTAAACAAATAACCCAATTAAAACACAGGGTATAGAAATAGAGAGTTCTCAAAAGATGAAACACAAATAACTGAGAAACTATTTTGAAATTTCCTCTCACCTTAGTCAAGATGGCCAAGATAAATAAAACAAATGGTAGCAGTTGCTGGCAAGGGTAAAGAAAAAGGGCAATAGTTATTTACTGCTGGTAGGAATCAAAACTTGTACAACCACTATGGAAATCAGTAATGCAGTTCTTCCAAAAGCTGAAAATTGATCTACCTCAAGATATAGCTCTACCGCTCTTGGGCATATACACAAAGGACTCTATATTTTACTACAAAGATACTTGCTCATCCATGTTCATTGCTGCTCTATTCATAAAAGCCAAAAATTGGGAATAACCTAGATGTCCATCAACTGATGAATGGATACTATAAATTTAGTACATTTATATAATGAAATATTATTCAGCTGTTAAGAAAAATGAAATTATGAAATTTTCAGGTAAGTGGATGAACAAGAAACAATCATCCCAAGTGAGGTAACGAAGACTCAGAAAGATAAATATTACATTTTATCTTATATGTGGATGCCAGCTTTTAAGCTTTAGATATATCTGTTTCAATCAGAATAACCACAAAGGTTAAACAGCTAGTAAGGGACTAAAGTGGAGGAGGAGGCGATCTTCCAACAACCAGGGATGGGAAAATAAATGTGTTGTTATAAAGCAATCAAGGGGAAATTAGAATAGGAGTATTAAATGGGAGGGAGATAGGTGGGTAGAGTAGAGGAAGAAATATGGGAAGGGACAACTGATACTAAAAGTCTCTTGAAAAGCCATAAAACCCACTCCTCTGGAAGCTTCCTAAAACATATACATATATAAATGAAGTTATCATATAATGGTAGAGACAGTGTCCCAACAGGATATTATATGGTACTAAGTAAAACCCATAACAAGGAATCGATTAGATCTCTTTGAGTCATTGGTCAAAGCAGCTGCACAGACCCCCTCCAAACATTGCAAGCTATTGCCAATAATATTGGCTACCTTCCACAGCCTGACTGTAATACAGTAGTACTAAAGACACCACGTATTTATTGCCTCAAACATGGAAAAATCAAGCTCATGCTCAACCAGAACTTCCAACTCTCTTGATTAACATTCATAATGCTGGAATGTATTACACATGCTACCAGAAGAGAAAGTAACCATCAATCTCACCTAGATATGATCCCTGAGAGTTGTCATAGCAACCTCTCTGCAAGTATTGTACCCAGTGGTACAATAGCATCAATGTTATTGGAGTAGCCAACCATATTTTCATAACATTTAAGGCCTACTCTATGAGATGGAACCCATGCCTGGCACTGTTAATGAGATCAAGAACCAGAGACAAGGTAGGTCATGGGCCTGGCAGACGCCTAGATGAACATAGCAATAAAAGGACTCCCAATGTTATATCTAGATCAGTGCACCACGGAACCCTCAGAGAACTTCTTTAGTAGATGGAAATTAACTCAGAGACCTACAACTGGACAGTGTGTACAGAGTGAAAGACTACAAAGCACTCAGCCCTAAATGGAGCATCTATATAACACCCCTCCTCTCAAGGATCGGGGTCAGTG